TATACGGTTATAATTTATGCTCTGTTTACTGTGTAGTATTGTTTCTGTGTGATTTGGTTTTTATTGTTCGTATGATTGGTATCTAATATGGTTAATTTAATTACTGGAATAGGGATCCGGATGCGGTGATGGGGTCCTTTCTCAATTTCTGGTACATATTGATTGTTTAAAACTAACTGTTTCATATGAGTTTATATACTAATTATTATTTCTTATCTAACATTAATTGATAATTGTATTATTATCTTATTTACAAGGATGTTACATCCGATTCTTCGTGTCTCCCTGACGTCGAGGTATATATTCCTTTGATCATGTGTGTTAGTTTTTTCTTTTTGTTTATTAACTTTTAATCTTTTAAATCTAACTTTTATATTTGACGTTTATACACAGGAAAACTTCAAAGAGGTAGGCTACAAACATGTTTGTTTCGTCTCCATGTTGATAGCGAATTCGTATTCTCATACAAATAGTTATAATACATTGTTTCTTTCTTATGTAGTATCTCGATGATGTGTCTGCTGCAGTTGATCTTTCTTCTGTCCTGGTAAATATCTGACACGGTCGTTAATTAGTAACGTTTTTATCGTCTCTATATATTGATGTTAACAACACAATGTTGAATTTTATATTTATTTGAATTCCTAGCATGTCGAGGCCAGTGCTGCAGTTCTATCGTTAGATGAGGTAATTATTGAATTACTTGGTTACTATGTAGTTGTATATTATTAATATATAATGTATGATTCAACTACTTTATCTTTATCTAACGCTATACTGTTTGTAAATAATAAGTTCAAGGATGTGCTTTCGGATCTAGGTGCATTGTCGGCCGATAAAGACTACGTTTTGGCTGTACTTTACCTGGTATATTATTATTGGGTTCTTACTTATAATATTACGCATTTTATTCCTATTTATACTCTATATATATTGACAAATTATAATCCATAAATATTGACAAATATAAAATAGGAATCTCGGACACAGTTGAAGTCTCTATACTTGAGATATCTTTTGTCCAGATATCTACAGCTTGGTATATGTTGTCAATTTTTATATTCGATATGTATGTTTCGAAGCTTAAACAGAAAAATAAAAAGAAAAAAAAACTTATATCTTCGTTGATTTGTATAGGAGGCAAAATCATTGGACCCTCTGATGCAGACTAAAAAGGTTAATTGGTAACTCTATATAGTGTGTAGTTCGATTTATTGTTTGGTAACATTCGTTCCGATTTACGTGTTTGATAAATGTTGGTAATATAAATTATATTGCTTATACTTTATTTTGTATATCTTCCAGAATTATGCTGACTTGCGCATGAAGTATTTTGGTGATGGGGTGAGATAATTTATATCTATCTTACTAATAGTTGATGTACATATATTATATATATAGTCAGTTTGTATTCATGTAATAAGATACTAATGTGCTGTCTATTATTATCTTGAAGCGTTTTGTTGCTGCTGGTATGAAGCCATACCCGTCTGACGGTCTTGAGTGTGATGAGATTTTAATGAACACCAATGAAGATACTCTTGAGTGTATTAATGATATTGTCATCAGTAGTTGGCGTTTATGCCCGGCGTATCTACGCCTTCGTTTTGTTGAATCGTTGATACTCTATAAAAGCATTAATGTCCACACGGTATGGGACGCTTGCTATCGAGTTTTGAGTGGTGATGTGTTGGCTGAACAAAAAATCGTGCGTAATAATCCTGGTATTAATCTATCATCAATACTAAATACTTATAGATGTTGTTTGACTTGATAGTTGTGTCTCAAAAAGGTGTTGCTTTTTATTACACTAGGGTTGGAGTTATCCGATGTGCAATTAGAGTGGTATGGTTTTCGTGTTATGCGTAAGGTGATGGGTGATCTTGGATTCCATCATGCCGGTTTTGAAGGTGTGCGTCTTGGTATAGTTCGCCGACTCTTAACTTACAAATGTGATGACATGTCAATGTGATATTGGCCTAGATTTGTTATCGTTGTCTTGGTTTTGTTTTATCGGTGTTATAGTTTCGGTATTGGTTTACTATTCCACCTAATACTATCAATATAATAGTGTCTTGGTGTTATTTATTTTATCATTTTATCGTTTTGGGAATTATTAACCTTTATGATTTATTATTTATAAATTTGTTATTTTAATTGAGTTTGTTCTTTCTTGTGTATTTAATGTGATTATCGACTATATCATGTTCGTAATGCGAATTATATACGAAGTACCGCGTAATCCATAATTTTTAACTACATGTATTTGTTGCTGTATCACTTTTTCTAAGATATTCATTTATAACTTTTTCTAGAATATTTCTGTTTATGCGTAATTTTCTTTGATAGTTGAACAATAATGCGTCTGTGTTTGCTATCATTATTACAAAGACTTAGAACTTCCGACGACTGTTATCATGTTTCTCGACACATAGACGATGCGTGTAGGTTATCATCGCTTATCTCTTCTGTAATTTTTTTTATTATGTTCGTATGCGGTAAAAATTGAATGGGATTAACTGTACTGTTTTGTAGTAATAATTAGAAAATAACCAGTTACGATTTGACGTCGTCTGTACCGTATTTTATAGTTCGATATATCTACTTGCTTTTAGATATTCCGTTTCATTTTAATATATACTCTCTCCTCTGTTTTATTATTATTATTCACGTTATTATATATAAGCAAACCAAAGAAAAAGAACAAAAAAAAAAAAAAAAAAAAAAACAGCTACTACATCAACACGACCGAAAAGAAAGAAAAAAATATTATTTTATCGCGATTATTATGGAAAATCGCGTGTAATAATAAACAAAATCTCTACAATTCGGGATACTGTTATGATATGCATCGATTGTGATAAATACTAAATTGACATTTTTAATAGTTACAATTTTATTTATATAGTATAGTTTCTGGATATGCGTTATAGTTCTATATATATTTCGCTTTAGTGAGTTTTTGTAATTTAGTCTGAAAGATGTTATATGATATTAGTTAGAAACTCTGTTGAGGTGACATACATGATACATAGCTTGTCATTAGTTATAGTTTTTTTGTATTACTCATTCAAAAAAGTTGTTTCTCAAAATGCATCGTGTGGTTTTGGTTTCCGTCGTTAGGTAAAATGGAACTTTATTTGCGTCCCTAATAACTTACACCATTTGTATATATTATTATTATGGTGTTGATAATAGAGTGATATTTTTTACCCTTAAGTTTCGTTAGTATATATTTCAGTTTAACTGTTGAGATTTAGTTTCTTTTTTTAAAACTTAATTTATTAATCTTATGGATAAATTCTATATCGTTTAATCAATATTCGTTTTTGTTAATTTTCTGATTTAGTTTTTAATATATATTTTCCATTTTTATGTTCTTTCCAAATAATCGTTAGGTCTACATATATGTATCCCGCATTTATACCTCATTGGAATATTTAGCCGCGTAATCCTTTGTTATGGGTTCTACAATGATACCTTTTACATCTGATTCATGTGATGGTGGTTATTTTCGTATTGCGTCTCTTAACCCTAACATGGGTGAGTGGTCTGTCTCGGTGAAGATTTTGAATTGTTGGTCTGTTTCGCGTGGCACGGGTAGAGAGCTCAATATGATTTTGGGTGACGAGCATGTTAGTTTTTTGATAACTTACCTGCTATACATGTTTTCGATATTAAATTGAATTGGTTTTGTCTTTAACGTTTTATTTGCAGTTCACACAAATCCAAGCCGTTGTTCGTGATGAATTAATTGATAATTATCTTTCAAGATTGATAATCGATGAGTGGGTGAGCATTAAAAAATTTGATGTATCACGGGTTAACAGCATATTGAGACCAGTACCGCATAGATTCAAGATTGTGTTTCGTTCGGACACTTTAGTGCAAAGTATTAATATGTGCTCCAGTAGAACCTATTTCAATCTAACTGAGTTTGTGAGTATATTGAGTGGTATTGTTAATCCGAATATTTGCGTTGGTAAGCCTAATTTATAAATTTATTTGTGCATTTGGAGTTTATTTGCGGTTCATGTTCTGACTGTATTATTCATGTGTGTGTTTCATAGATGTTGTTGGCAAAATTGTCAACGTGAGAGAGTTGGTTTTTGTTCCTTCCGTGGAACATTCTCAAGGAGGATATTTTGAGCTGTACTTTGGTTTACGTGATACTGAGTAAGTCACTATTCTTTTAAAGATTTAAACCAGAATATAATGTCTTATGACTTCTTCAAATCTTAAAATTAGGTGTATCCATCTAGAGTGTCGTTTAACGGGTGACCTTGCAGTCGAGTTCTATGACTTATGGAAGCAACGTTCACGTAACACAGTGATATGTATTATCAAGTTTGTGAAATTAGAGCTATCACAGGAACATAGGTGGAGATGTACCAATGTTACCGGAAGTACGAGGATTATGTTGAATCCGGATCTCAGTATTACCGACGAGATGCTTTGTTGGTAAGTATTTTTTTTTTCCGTTTACAATCAAAACTCTAAAGTTGGCGACTGGACATTCACTGTTTATGGTGTTCTTAATCGGATGTCAGGAATCCTGAAAATGACCAAGTACCGATCATCACACGGAAGGAGAATGCCATGGAGTGATGATGTTCGTTGATTTCTTATTTTGTTGGTGAATGATTTTAAAAGATGATTTATTATTATTTTTTAGCATTTATAATATTATTGAATTTTTTAAATTTCATCATTTTCCATAATTTTATCACACTAAATCCTAAACAATTTACCATATTTTTCTTACACTACCAAGTAACACCTAAACAATCCCTTATTTCACATGATTTTACCATTTATACAGCATTCTTCCCGCGCATGCGCGCGGGCAATCACCTAGTTGGTAGTATAGTTGGTATTTAGTCCTTTAGAATTTAAATAAGTCGGGGTTCATGGACTGCAATTTAATACGTTTTATTAATTTGTTCAACTCGTCGAATTATAAACTTGACTCGTTTTTTCTACTCGGACCTACTAAGTACTTTTTTTTTTTCTCTAAGTCTCATTTTATATCATCATAAGCATTCAAAAAGGTACAAAAGTGGAGACATCCACCACATAACTTAAGAGTTTTTGCAGAAACATAACAAACTTTGGATTATCAAACGAATATTGACAATCCCTAAAGAACTACGAGAATTTAAAGGTACAAACTTAGACATTAAGCTAATTCATAAGCAGAAGCTTAGAACAACCATCAAAAGTAGCAGTTTTCTTCTTGCACAAGGATACTGCAAGAGCCAAAAGTTTCCTTTGCTTGAACCTACAACATACCAAAAAGTTTGACAGAATTTGCAGAGTGCTTTAACGCTTCTTTGGAGGCATCTGATTCCCTCCTTTCTTGGAACTTTCTCCAACTTCAAATTGCTTGGAGACTGGTGTGATAGCTTCATTCACAGAATGTGAAGAGCTGCTAGATCCATCTGAAGATTGACGCCTTGAAGGATATTGTGGAATTGGCCTGTCAAAGTGAAATCTTGATGATTGAAAGTATGGACACGCATCTTCTAATTCTTCAGTATTCAGTGATGGCCTATTAACTCTTGGAGGTGGTGTAACAGCTCTTGGATATTGAGTCATCGGAGCTGGGAAAGATATATCAAATATTTGAGATTGAGAGTTCATAGCAGATCTATAAATCTCATCATTTAAACCATCTCTGAAATGTCCAATTCTTTCTGATTCAGGAGCATTAACCCTGTTCACTGGAATTCTTGGAAGAAAAGGGCAAAACTCTCTATGATGAGTCATTCTAAAACAGTTACTGCAAAGTCTTCTAAGTCTTTCATATTGAAATCTGATTGTTGCAGTTTCTCCTGATCTAAAACTAAGTCGACTAAAGAACCTAAGGCTGTCAGTGATTTCAAACCTAATCCTTACACGAATGAAGGAAATCTGAGTCGAGATAGTTTCATTAAACTCTGTTTCAACAAACTCACCAAGTATTTCTGCTATAAGTCTAACAGTCCTATTTGAGACATAGGGTAAAGGGATACCTCTAAACTGAACCCATAAGTTTATTGTTGTGAGAAAGTCAATGGTTGGGATGTCCTCCCACCTTTGCATCGCAACAAACCAATTATTGAACACCCATGGTTCCCTTCTTTGTATAGAGAGTAGGTCTATTTCTTTGACCTACTAAGTACTAACATGGCAATATTGCATTATATATTGAGATTCAAATCACATGCAATCGTAAGATGAGCATCATTTGCGTCTTGTTTCGTTCATCTTTTATCGATCCATATTCATTTCCAAATTACCATTCTAGATGGGAATGCATTCTCATATAAGATAAGAGTTTTCTTTTCGATTGAGAACATATATAACAGGACACAATGGGAACAACGAATTTTGGAACAAAAATAACCCTAGAGGCCTAGATAAAATAAGAAAGTACAAAGTAAAGGTTCAAGGTAGTATGGCTACACAATTTCATTCAAATTCCATATATTTATTTTGATGAACATGATGATATAGGTAGACAAGATGAAAACAATGAAGATCAAAGAACAATAGAATTTTATTTACAATGATATCTACTACTATCATTTTATTTACAATCTTATTCCAAAAATTTCATCACATAAAATTCCTTTTTACATGTACAATGTACATCCGTTTTTTTGGATGCTTGCAATATTAAACCAATCATTTATTTTATATTTCATGAGAAATTAAAAACATTTTTTTAAAGTCTTTAAAACCATATTTACCAATTAGCTTCATAATCTAAAATTTTATTAGTAATGAATCCAAAGGATTGCTATAGGCAATAAATGAAGAATCATAATATATAAAATTTTGAATGTAAAGACCGTTGCTATTTGCGAAGATTCCATAATTCGTAAAGTCAAGAAAATAATTCGTATCTTTTACATAAAAAATAAAAAAGTATTTGTTTTGTTGGACAAGTGAAGACTAAGAAAAAAATTAAACGGTTTCTACTTTCAAGTAAGTTGATCAATAACTTGTTTATGCAAATGGTTTATTTATATTGGTCTTCTTACGTGAGATTGTGGCACCAGAGGTATGTCAAAATATAGTGGCAAAGAGAGTTGTTGCCAGGGATGCTCGGTCTTGGTTCACCAAATGCTTATGTGGTCTCCTATGCAGAAGAATATGAAGGTAATTAGTTATAACTTTAGCATAGAAACTGGAGCAGAAAATAGATTGTGTATGCACTATGCACTGTTACTAATAAGAGCCAATATATGGGAGAGAGTTTAATTATCTTTTGAGTTGGCATGCCTTCTTTATTTATAACACTAGATTATGTATCTGCGCGTTACGCGAAATTTTAATTTAAAACTTTTATCAATGCGAATTTTTAAGCATAAATATAATCATTTGAATTTTAAAAGATATAAAATATGATGACATGGATGCTTATGTGGACATTTTAGATGGAGAGAAGACTCTCTAATTATATATATATATATATATATATATATATATATATATTCATTTAGGTATTTATTCTAATATTTATTTATAATGATATCTACTAGTATCATTTTATTTGGAAAATTAGAGCACATATCATTCTTTTTTACATGTACATACCGTTTTTTGGATGCCTACAAACAAACCAATCATTTTTTTCACGAAAATAAAAATTTCAACTATCTACATTAAAAAAAAAATCCTTCTTTAAAACCATATTTACCAATTGGCATCATAATTTTGGTATAAATCCAAAAGATTGCTATAGGCGATAAATGAAGAATCAGAATAGAATTTTGATGTAAAGATCGTTGCGAACATTCTATAAGGGCATCTCCAATGCCTATCTCTATAATTTCCTTTATTTTAGAGGAGATTTTGCTACAATGTATGCCTCTAAAATAGAGGAGAGAGAGACATTAGATTACTCTATATATAAATGCATTTATTGTCTCTCTTCTCTATTTTAGAGGAAACTCTATTTTAGAGACACACATTGGAGCAAAATCTCCTCTAAAATAGAGAAAATATAGAATTGGGCATTTGAGATAATCTAACTTATAAAGTCAAGAAGATGATTAATAGTTTTTACATAAAAAAAATCAAAGTATTAGTTTTGCTGGACAAGTGAAGACTACGAAAGAAATTAAACGGTTTCAACCTTTTAAGTAAGTTGATCAATAACTTGTTTATGCAAAGAATTTATTTATATTGGTCTTACGAAGTTTTTTTTTACTTTGTTCAAATGTCTTACGAAGTTCATATTATTGTACGAGGAGGTGTAAATTATATGACTCGAGAATGTTAGTAGTTTAGAGAACAATTTTATATTAATTTTTTTTTTATGTGATAAGTGTTTGGTCATGTGACTTGTAATTTGTAAAATAATTTTATCAACACAAAAAAAAATTAATCTCTCCAACGAACTACTTGTGTATACGAGACGAGATGACTTTAGTTAATCACAAATACTAGACCGACAAATAAATAAATTACCGGTTCAATAAACTGTCCAAATTACCGGTTCAATCTGCTATAACCGATGAACCGAGCCTGAGTCGTAAAAGCGTAAAACCTTGTTATTTCTAACATCAGAAGCTCGAATCCTCCGATTGATCTCTCTGTTCGTTTCTTCCAAACCCTAGAAAACTTGAATGGAGGACGCTGATGGACTCAGCTTCGATTTCGAAGGCGGTCTCGATTCCGGACCTGCTCAGCCCTCCGCTTCAGTCCCGGTTGCTCCGCCTGATAACTCTTCCTCCGCCGCTGTTAACGTAGCACCGACCTACGATCACTCCTCCGCGACGGTGGCTGGAGCTGGCAGGGGAAGAAGTTTCCGGCAGACTGTTTGCAGACACTGGCTTCGAGGTCTGTGTATGAAAGGTGACGCCTGTGGGTTTCTCCACCAGTATGACAAAGCTCGTATGCCAATCTGCCGATTTTTCCGGTTATACGGTGAATGTCGAGAGCAGGATTGTGTGTATAAACATACCAATGAAGATATCAAAGAATGCAATATGTATGTTCATAAATTCCGTTTTCTCAGTATAAGATTGAACTTGATGCTAAGAGGGTTGATGATTCAATTTTGCAGTAGATGATGATTGAGATTGTGTTGATTCTTAGTTTTGGTTAGCTTTTTTCTGACAGATGATGTCTTGTGATTATATTTTGTAGGTACAAGCTGGGATTTTGTCCCAATGGTCCTGATTGTCGGTACAGGCATGCAAAGCTTCCTGGACCTCCACCACCTGTTGAGGAAGTTCTTCAGAAGATACAACAATTGACATCATACAATTATGGGCCAAATAGGTTCTATCAACCACGGAATGTTGCTCCACAGCTACAAGATAAACCTCAGGGGCAAGTTCTGACGCAAGGCCAGCCACAAGAAGCAGGTAACTTGCAGCAGCAACAACAACAACAACCTCAGCAGTCACAACACCAGGTCAGCCAGACTCAGATACCAAATCCTGCTGATCAAACAAACAGAACATCTCATCCTTTGCCTCAAGGGGTAAATAGGTGTGTTCAGAGTCCTAAGGTTTTTAATTGGGTTATGTAAATTATGTTTATGTATACCTATTATTTATCAAGAAGTTGTTATTGGTCCATTATCAAAACATTGGTTTCTTATAACAGCTTTGATCAATTTAGAATGTAACTAGTTATTTGCAAGTTCAGAATCTTTAAAACTTTATATACACAGGTATATATTTTTAACTTCATGGTATATTATCTACCTGATATTAGGATATTTTTCTTTGATAGCTAGGTAAAATTCTGAGATTATATTTGACATCAACTGTTATAAAACAATAAATCGACTTGCTTCTGGGCTGGCTTTGCTCTCTTATTTTGCTTTTGAGTATTATTACTCTCCTTTTTCCATCAGGTACCCTTCTTCCTTCAGCTAAAATGTGGGAGATAGGCTTTACAAATGGTGGTATACATATACTGGTTTTTGTTAATATTTTATTTGATAGATGATCATAGTTTTTAAAGATTTATGTCAAACAGAAGCATACCGATTATTCTCTACTGTTTCAGTAAAGCTACTATACATATAGCACCATTTTTTCATTTATTTAGTGCTCTACTCAATTGCCTAATTGCCAGTGGTTTTCAGCAGGACTCCTGCGACCCTAAGAGTCATGCTTTCTTTATTTCAGATGATTACAACTTCATTTCTGATTGGTCCCCTAGAGTTGATTGCCTATTTTGTGCTCTAGTGTTGCTTTTTGGCTATAACGTAATCTTATTCAGATATTAGTAAGAGACTGTGTAATTCATATAGCTATATCTTTTGAAATCCCATACAATTGATCTGAAATCATTGTGTGAAGAAGAATGGAATTCTTCAAACGTTGTCTAGGATTTCGGCTTTCGAAGATGCTCATCTTGACTGCTCGATATTAAGTTTGATTTAATTGTTATTTGTTTGATTGTATGGATTCGTTAACTGTATATATACCTTATGGTATATTCTTACTCTTCATTGGTAATCCCTTACGTAGTTTAGGATCTTGGTTTGTCAGGTATTTTGTAGTTAAGAGTTGCAATCGAGAAAATTTTGAATTATCTGTGCAACAAGGAGTATGGGCTACGCAAAGGAGCAATGAATCTAAACTTAATGAAGCTTTCGACTCTGTGGAAAATGTGATCTTGATATTTTCTGTCAACAGGACCCGGCATTTCCAGGTAGTTTATTGGATTAAACATTAGTTACTGTAAGCCTATAATAATGAACACTTTGAAAGATCAAATTCCCTGTTCATGTGCAGCGATGGTTGCCTTTCTGTAGTTTTCTTCTCCATAGAGTATTTGCTAGGCAGCGTTATGATTCTAAATAACTTTGTTTCACGTGATGCTATAGGGCTGTGCTAAGATGACATCAAGAATTGGTAGTTACATTGGTGGAGGAAACTGGAAACATGAACACGGAACTGCACAGTATGGCCGGAACTTTTCAGTTAAATGGTTAAAGGTATACCCTGTGACTAAGCTTTCCCTTCTAATTAATAGTCATTTCTCTGAGTTCTGGGTTTATTTAGTCCTTCTCTATGCGATTGAGTCTATTACATTTAGTCCTTCTCTGGCACATGCTACTGAGAGTAAAGGGGATGCTTTCATAAATCATGCAGTAACATGACTTCTATGATTGATTGTAATTCTTGCCATTGTAGTTGTGCGAACTATCCTTCCACAAAACTCGGAATTTGAGGAATCCCTACAACGAAAACTTACCTGTGAAGGTACGCGGAACTTCTCACCATGTTTTTCTTACGCTGCTCTAGTTGTTCTCCTATCTGGGAATAGTATCGTTTGTTAGATACAGTGCATGATAAATAAGGATGTTTATATCAATACACTCCGCAAAGGTCTAAATTGTCCCATGTTAACTCGCACGGTTACACAAATATTTTGCTAGACATTACAAGTTACCACTGATACAATGATTACTATTAGCTAATGGTCGTTGTGTAATGTTTATGCTTTTTTAGTATTTGCATGTAACCTAGACACCTTCATTTTACTCTTTTGGTTCAATAACCGTAGATAAGCAGAGACTGTCAGGAGTTAGAGCCCTCCGTCGGTGAACAGCTTGCTTCTTTGCTTTATCTTGAACCAGATAGCGATCTTATGGTATATACTCTCTCCCACTCTCTCTCTTTGTTGTTTACTTTGTTCTTTCATGGCTCTTAAGCGTATAATTTATCAACAGTGAAGAACTGAGCTCCATATGCTCTTTTATTGGTGACTTTGGTTTCTTCTAGGATTTTCATTATATTACTTCATCATGGATTTTCATTCTGTTTCTTCATCATGGATTGTTAATATTCGTTTTTCCATGAATCCAAGGCAATCTCCATAGCTGCAGAAGCGAAACGAGAAGAAGAAAAAGCGAAGGGTGTGAATCCAGAGAGCAGAGCTGAGAACCCAGACATTGTGCCGTTTGAAGACAACGAAGAAGAGGAAGAGGAAGAAGATGAAAGTGAGGAGGAAGAAGAGAGCATGGCGGGCGGTCCTCAAGGCAGAGGAAGGGGAAGAGGAATGATGTGGCCGCCTCAAATGCCTCTAGGACGCGGAATCAGACCAATGCCTGGAATGGGAGGTTTCCCGCTTGGGGTAATGGGCCCTGGCGATGCATTTCCCTATGGGCCTGGTGGATATAACGGTATGCCAGATCCATTTGGCATGGGTCCAAGACCCTTTGGACCGTATGGACCGAGGTTCGGTGGTGATTTCAGAGGACCAGTACCCGGGATGATGTTTCCGGGTAGACCTCCGCAACAGTTTCCACATGGCGGTTATGGTATGATGGGAGGCGGACGTGGCCCGCATATGGGAGGAATGGGAAACGCTCCTCGAGGAGGCAGGCCGATGTATTATCCACCAGCAACATCATCAGCACGTCCTGGCCCCACCAACCGGAAAACACCTGAGAGAAGCGATGAGAGAGGAGTGGGGGCGGATCAACAAAATCAGGATACATCACATGACATGGAGCAGTTTGAGGTTGGAAACAGTTTAAGAAACGAAGAGAGTGAAAGTGAAGACGAAGACGAAGCTCCAAGACGATCAAGACATGGAGAAGGAAAGAAGCGTCGGTGAGAGAGACTCACACAACAATCTACGATTTCTTTTCAAAGTTTGCTTCTCTCCCCTCTATTTTTGATTCAAACATATTATAACGTTAGAGTGCAGATTGTTGGTAATTTAAAATCTTTTGTATTATGAGACAACAGTTGTTAATACAACTCTTCTTTCTTTAGTACGTATTTTACTCTAATAAGGTTTATGGCATTAGACTTTGAAAAGAACACTAATAAGACCAAAAATAGTCTTTAACTGTACATAACAAGTCACATTAACTATAATTTTATTTGTCATCTCGTTTTCTTAATGAAAAGTGAAAACATAAACAACAACGTTAGACCTAGGCCGGAGCATAAAATCCGAAATCCGAAAACCGATCTGAAAAATCTGGTTCCGAATCCGAACCGAATAGTCACAAAACCCGAAAGGATAATAAATTCTACTATCCGAATTAGACAATAAACCAAGGTCAAATGAAATTTAAACCGCCAAGGAAGAGATGAGTAGGTTCGACAGCACAAATGAAATTATGTTTGACTAGCATCATGTTAACATAATCTTTTTCTCGTTTCACATCTGGTGAGAATAATCCATGTAATTTTGAAGATTTTTTATGAACATGAAAAATTATGGGTGTAACCATAGGTTTATATGAAACCCCATTAATTTATAATATAGTAAAAGATAACAACAACGTAAAAAAAAAGGAATTGAAACCTCAAAATTGTATTAATAAACAACATAAGAAACTATACAAGGTTTAAAACCTAGTTTGTGCATCTTAAGTAAAAGTAAAGAAAGGAAAAGAAACTCCTCCTCTCCTCTGCTCCTTTGTTCAAGTTTGGAAAAGAATCTATAGTTTGTTTGGGAGGCGCCATGAAACGCGAGGAGAGACAACTTATTGAGGTAGATCCCATCCCTCTTGACCTAGAGTTGGCTATACTCACTAGATTGCCAGCAAAATCTCTTTTCAAGTTCCTATGCGTGTCAAAGATGTGGTCTTCTATCATACGAAGCCAAAGCTTCGTTGATTCTTACTACGCTTTGTCCTCCACGACGCGATCGCGGTTTATAGTCACTTTCGGTTGCGGTGCACAAGCCAAGTTTGAAGACAGGCGTTTGTTCGTCTTCTCGTCTTCCTACGAATGTGAGAAATCTTCTTCTTTGGCAACCAATCTCGATATGACTATACCTTCTGTGAGCATGTGTCGCGCGCGGCGCCTACTGTGCTTCCGTCCATGGCTTAATCGGGTGTATTAAGAGTGGTTCGTTCATTGTCTTTAACCCCAGCACCAACATATTCAACATCCTACCATTCACTGGTGCACGCACATCCTGGGCATACGATCCTGTTGGAGATCAATTCAAATCATTGACCATGGTGTCTTATCCTCATCGGCCTCCTGATCACCTGATGCACGAGGTTTTAACACTTGGAGGAGGAGAATCTTCATGGACACGCAATAAGTTAATCAGCCCTCCTCATCACACTGTTACCAAATCAATATGCATCAATGGTTTTGTTTATTATGGTGCTTGGACCCCAACCCGATCTGCAAATCCCGTGATTGTGTGTTTTGATGTTAGATTTGAGACGCTAAGTTTTATCGAAGCGCCTAGGCCTGTTGTTTGGTGGGGAGGTGAATCAATTCTGATGGAATACAAAGGGAAGTTAGCTTCCATTACAAGACACCCTTATGCTGATTTCCAATCTTTTGATTTATGGATACTAGAGGATGTCAAGACACATGATTGGTCCAAGCAAACATTTCAGCTTCCTTTCTCTTTGGGGATGGGTAAGAATATCACTTCCCCGGGCACCAACAAGGCTGGTGAAATCATTTTTGCCCCTAAACTCCTGTCTTATAATGATGTTCAACCCTACTACATTTTCTACTACAATGTAGAAAGAAAAGACATAAGAAGAGTTAGGCTCCTAGGAATTGCTGACGATGAAGAGTTTAGGCATCGTTACGGAATCGCAGGGGAATGTTACGTTTGGATCTCACCGGAACACATCGAAAGTATTGCTACTCTATGATTTGTTTATGCATGTATCCCTTTCTTCAAGGATCTTAATTTAATAGCTTGACAAATTCTGGGTTTTTTTTTTTTTTTTTTCATTATTTAAGCGGTTGGCTTTTCAACACAAAGCAAACTGGTTTGTTGATGTTTAGCTTTGTATTGGAGATAAGCAAGATGTGTATCTTGCGGACCAAGTAATATGGACCATTAAAGTCCATTATGAAGTGAAGCCCGTGAAGCCCAACCCGAAGAATATTCTAGATCTCTATATTACTTCTTGTACAAGTTATTTCCTTATGTGTTTAGGAAAGTTTACATTATGTGGGTGTTAACATTATGTTAATGTTGACACTATATGTATGTATCTTGTGTTCTCATATAAAACACAACTCAATAATATATTCTATTCTATAATATTTGACACTTTGCTTGTATTTTAAGTGTTTTGTTTCTGTTAACTAGTCTTTTTTTGGTGATTGTGGAAGATTTTGGCAAGCAATGCTATTGATTATTTGTGCTTTTGGAAAACCAATTATCAACTATCATTATCTTAACAAACAATAGGTCTAATTCTAAAAGACAATGAAAGAGAACGATTAGGTGAAGGTGGTCTTGCACATCACATTATGCCAATCTAGTGATTACTTGAGGTTCATATCTTCCATTGTTGTTTCATTTTTTTGTTATTTTCCTTTCCTAGTGCACAAGAGAGAGAGATATGGGAAGATTGATGATGCTCTGGCTGCTTTTTTTAAGTGAGGATTATAAGCTCTTTTCTTATTGGTCACAAGAGTTGATTCCCCATATCTTATGAAATCACATACAATTGATACAAATTTTGTTACATTTGCGGCATATTTTCGTAGAATCTCTATTAGGTTTTCTCGGCCATCAGTCCCCGGCCTTTCCTTTTCGGCCAACATATTTGTATATAAGACTTTCAAGTGTATATAAGGAAGAGTTCAGTGAGTACTTGAAAGGGATACGTACAGAAGTTGAAAATTGAAAAATAATGTACATAAGCCACAAAGGCAATCAAGGCATGGAGAAGTAAAGAAGCGTCGGTGAGAGAGAGACTTACAACAAGCTACGGTTTTTTTTCCAAAGTTTGCTTTGCTTGGTCTATTGGATTCAACATTAGCGGCACAGTTTTGTTCTTTAAAATCATTACTGTTTTCAGACAACAGTTGTTGATACAAAACTCAACAACCATATTTACTATCTAGTTTATGATTTACGGTTTAAGAGACATTGAAAAGAGAACGACCAAATAGAGTCTAAACTGCAATTATAGTTGCCTTTCTTTTAATCTTTAATGTTGTTAACAAATCCTTCTTTCGTTTCACCTCTGGTGAATAATCCATGTAATTTTGAAGATCTTTTTTAAAAACATGAAAAATAAGTGAGCGGTGGTGACCATATATAATGGAAAATTATGGGTGTAACATAGGTGTTTAGATGAAGCTAATTATCTCAAAATCTTCCAAAAGTCAGGAGATATCCATATCCATGAGAGGGAAATGTATTGACTTGTTTCAGAATACAACCTCAGAAATGTTCTATCTGCAAAAACAATATGGAAAGAAAAAGAAAAAAACAACTATATAGCTCGCAGGAATATTCAATTCAATTCTTTTCAACAAAATGGAATTCACTGTACTACAAGAAAAATATTAGAAACTGTAAAAAAAAAAAAAAAAAAGAACTGACCTTGAAGGGCAGGCTTTTTGATGTTCTTGGTGGGTATAAAATGAGATTGAACTATGTAAACAAAGTAACAACGTCTCTGTGATACCCTCTTACGATCAACATCCTTGGCACATTCTCCACCAGCAAATCCATATATTCCATGTAAAAATATGCGGGGTGGTTCAACGGAGGTGGCGGGAGACTAACCAGAACCACCGCGGCCATCCTCGAGTAACTGAGTATGGTCGAGTTCAATTTCAGCATTGTGTATAGAAACTTCTCCACTTGTTGCTCATTCACCACCATCGGTTTCCCATTTGCCAATAACGGATTCGAACCCTGTCTCTTGATCTCTCCCAAGTAATCTGAGATTCGTCTTTGTGCTGCATCAAAAGCTTCCAATGAATCTTCTTGGCTGTTTCCTTCGGATCTTATGTCCCATGATTTCATCGTGACCACGATTACTTCTGCTTGCATTCTGAGATCGTAGAGGAACTTCTTTACGTCGGCTTTGAGTGCTTCCGCGTCTGAATCCTCTTCAGCTATGCAGAAGAGTTGGATTTTGCAGCTTTCGAAGCTTTCTTTTGTCAGAAGAAGCTGTGAGAGAAGAAGCATGAGACCACCATCTCTCACAATCCAGTACAAGTCGATTGTTCCATACTGTCTTTGGTACTCGTTTGGCCACTCGTCTAACCCTTTGATGATGACAACTGCTTTGTTTGCTGTTATGCAGTCATTGATTATTCCAACAAATGTGGATGGAATCTCTGTTAGATTTTCTCGGCGCCAGATCTCAGGGTACCGCATTACCACGATGTTGGGTTTGAGGTTTCCGAGTCCCATCGTCTGGATGATCCCACGGAACCCTTCGGTCATGTTTGGGGCTACAACGATTTCAGCTACACCTTCACAACGCTTGTACTCAATGTAGGTGGCCAATTGTTTGCAAGCTTCCTTTGCTTCTTCAGCACATTCATAGTAGTCACCATCTAATATTGAGACAAAGATCGACATTCCACGACCTTTTTTCTTCATACAGTTAGCAAAATCAGCCAGCTTAGGGTGACACGGAACATTTTCCGGAAGCTGTCCCCACGGTCTGCAGAAAACAAGGGGAATTGGGTACCAGTTCTTTGGGTGCACTTGGTTCGCTGCAATTAGAAGAAATGACAGTACATGAGATTAGCTTTAAATAAATGGACCATTCAACTTCAATAATGAACCAATTAGATATGGCAGGTTCTGCATAATGGAACTTAGAGATTTTGTATTATATAAACAACTAGTTACAAGAAAAAAAATAACCAAAATTAGATATGGCAGGTTTGTACCTCCGAGTGACCTGAGACTACGAAGGGCCAACTGAAAATATGCACTCTTGAAACCATCCCCCCAGTCCCCAGCCTTTCCTTTTAGGCCAACGTATTTGTATATAAGACTTGCAAGTGCAATGGCAATCACAGTGAATGACCAAGAAATCAAGAACATGATCACTGCAACAATAGAAAAAAAAAAAATGAAAAACTCAACAAGGCTTTGTAATAACACATCTCAGGATTCAGGTGAGATAAGAAGCCACGTGGTAGACTCAATCAGAATCTTTATAGGAATGGACTACATAGAAAGATTGCGAAAGACACTTTCTCCGTGAGTATTTGAAAATTCATACCTATGCAAAGTGCGGCTCCAACAAAGGAAAGGCTCCAATGATGATATTTCCACCGTGGACGCCAACTTGGAGCATCAAGAAGATCGAGTAGGAAACAAGACAAGTTTACTCCCGAATAGCACAAAAGATAAAACATGGTCACAGTCGGTGTGATAAGATCCAGATTTCCGATAACAACACATCCGATGCAGATAAATGCTGTGAAGAGTGTCGCTATGTGAGGTTCACTAGTATCTGCAACTTTAAAATAATTCAGGATGGGGAGAATATCATCATTTGCTATAGCTGCAAGTAACCGTGGTGCCCCTGTCAAACTCTGGAGAGCAGCCCCTAAGGTTGAAAGTATGATTCCAACGTGAACAATGGCAGGGAAAGGCCAAGCAATTGTAGCAGTAAGTAGCCTGCAATAGAGGAAAATTATTCATTGCATTAATTTAAAGAAAGTTCATGGTGTAAGCTAGGTGTTGAAATGCTTAAAAGAACAGGTCTCTGCGGCCAGACATGATAAATCTATTCTGACATATAAACTAAGAAAAGTACAGCTTTTGTAGACCCCTAGTAGTTTTATGTAGTATATTCAGAACATGAAGCCATTTTTAGTTTCTTTCAAGTTTAACCATGCTAAAGACATGAAAGTGAAAGTGATAAGTGGGTTTTTGCATTTTCTCCAGGACACTTCTGCCTAAGAAAACACAACAGATCAGCTACGAAACAAAAAAATTAACCACAGAAGGAGTTGTTACCTATCAGTCAAAAGTTTGTCACGGGTCGCAACAGCTCCAAAAAACAACACAGAAATCAAATATAGTGAGGTTGTGGTCAGAGTGGCAGCCAATGTACCAACAGGAATTGATTTTTGAGTGTCTTTAAGTGAAGCTGATCGATTTGAACCAGCCATAATTCCTGTTACAGCAGGGAAAAATAGACCCACCAGCTCACTGAAAACAACCAAAGAGAACGGTAAATAGATTTCAGAGTAAAAACTGAACAGATAAAATTATTTCATTAACTTAAAACCATAACTAGAGTTTTTCTATCATTAACATAAATAGATTTCTGGAAGTTACTCACTTGAAACTCCAGTACGTCCCTCCAGTTGGATCAGGAATTCCCGCATCATTTGTCATTTGATAAGCAGAACCCCAATTATCTTTAAAACTTTTTAACCGCAAGCCCGTAATTCCATCTGTTCAAATCATAACAAAGGGAACAAAAGGAAGGTTAACGACTCAACGAAAAATAAACGCCACGCCTGTTTCCAACAATATAAAGAAACAACTTACTGTCAGGATCATCTGTCTTTGCCAAAAATATCCCGATGAATATGCAGAAGATAGAGAGCAAAACGGGTACAAGGAAAGCAGGTGCAACCCGATTGATCATCTTCACGCCACCAAACACAATGAAGCAAAGAAGGATCGTCACAACAATTCCATAAACTTGCAAGTCATGTGAGTTCGGGCTTTGTATTGATTCGGAAACTGCTGTTCCATTAACCTTTGTGATAGTTTCTGCAATTAAAAATGAAACACAGCTAAATGACTTAATGCGACTTGTGGGCTATAGGTTATTTCCTCAGGGAAAACAAGTGAACTTTTTGTCAAATAAAACTAAGAAGTTGGTAATTAATAATATAGTCTTTTGTTTGGTTTTTATCC